ACTGAAATTCAATGGTAACTTTTGAAATGAACTGGATGTAAATTCTAATAAGTCATCAAGGTAATAATTTCCAATAGAATAAATATATTGGACAGACATGAAAGTTGTTATTACTTATCATAGAAGTTGGAGTACTTATTGATATCATTTTTTCACTGTACAGGGTGATCAATCATTATCGAACATGACTTCAAGAAGGTGAGGAAATAACAATGAATTATGAAATAAAGCATCAACTTTTAAGCAAAATAGTAACTTGTATCAGTCTTCAGATTTACTCATATATGTAGTGGTCAATACATCTGAATTATTGTTCGAAATCTATTTTCCCTGAGAGCCTGATAATTAAAAGTTGATCACCCTCTAAGAATTTTGAAATGTTGAGGCATCCTTTCCATTTCTTGTTGGGTCTCCAATATAATCAGATGAACCTATTATAAATCATAGAAATCGTGAAGCAATAAATTTGATTTAGAACGTGTATCAGTAATGGACCGTTTTAGAAATTTCTTGCTTCATTGACAATTTGATGTATAGTTAACACGGCCAGATTCATCCTATATAATACCACGATGATATGTTATAAATATCAAGTAGGTGTTACATAATTAGGTTGCGTATTCTGACTTCAAAAAAAGTTTTATATTCAACGGATTACTGTTATCTAAAAATCTATGATTTGACTGTATCAAAATTTGTATATTTTTTCAAAATAATATTTGTATAGTTATTATAGCCATTCAAAAAAGGAATATTCTCAGATAAATTATGAACATGAAAAAATGGATAAATATATATTAAGAAATACTTTGAGAATTTGCATTCTCAATGTGATGAAAATATCAATTCTTTCTCGATTTATTCAACCGAAAACAACTACATTCCTGATGGCTGTATGCCATAACGAACATACATATTTCTGTCTCTTGATATTTTCCCGTATCTTGCTTCTATTCCGAGAAAAACGGACAATACCATACCTCGGCATATCTCCATAGGGAAAAATAAAAATGCTTGGATATTATCCAAAAAACAAAAAGGGCATAAAATTCAATAGGTACCCTCTTTAAAATGTATACGATCCTCAAATTTTGTGAGAAATAATTTTATTAATGGAAAACTCTTTTTTTTTAAGTTGGACACCCTATATCTCCGAAACGAAGCATTTTCGGGCCAATGTTCATATGAACTTTTTTTCATATCTTGTTGAAAGGAATCTCCCCTAGGCTTTTGTCACCAAAACTCTGAAACACCCTGTATACCGTAGATAACGAGAATCTGATGTACTCCTAGAGACTACTCGGAATCTAAATCTTGTCGCTTTAATTGGTAGGCAATGAACTAGATATGTAAACAGGGTGGCCAGTCAACAACAAACGACCAAGTAATTAGAAAATGCAATTGTTCATTACAGTCAGTAATTGGATTACATATATGCGCACTGCTCGAAAAAGGCGGAAATTGAATTAGTTTAGTAATTACTTTTCAGCCGCACACCATGGGAATTTAGGAATTCAACCGCAGCTGTTCTGCTAGAACAGATAGAATGTCGTCTCGTCAACTCTATTCAGCGACAGGGTTACAATAATATTGGGGTGTATACTGGATTTCCAAAAATGAGCTTATACATATTCATATTATTATATGATTTGTTTCCAGTCCCTATATGAAATATACCGGGTGACACAGGAGACATGATACAGCCTGTAGTTTTCCTTGAACCCAATGACAATTTTCTTCAACCACCTGTTTGATTGGAAGTAGACCCAACTTTTATTTTTCATACGGCACCCTGTATATTTCTGTTGCCTTAAAATTATCTATTCAATCGCCATCTCTTCCAGGGCTCCAATACCAGCCAGGCAAATCTGAAACGAACATGAAAGAAATGTTGACAACATAAATATGGAATTGGCAACAATTCTCGAATGGGGATCCAATAACCTGGTAGATTTCAATGCAAACAAAGCACAAGCATGCCTTTTCTCTAGAAAAGCCGATCTCACTGTGTCCAACATAAGCTTGTCAGCAGTAACCATACCTTTGAAGACATCCATTTCGATGCTTGGTATTAATTACTATCAGCAATAAGCTTTCTTGGGAAAATCACGTGAGATCGATTGCTAAAAGTGCATCCCAAACACTTGGTTTTCTGTTTCGGGCCAGGAGCTATTTCACTTCCAGTCAGCTGCTTATGATATATATAAGGCACAGATCCGACCTGTCCTGGAATACTGTTCCCATATTTGGAGTGCAGCACCCAAACATACCCTGAAACTGTTGGATTCTGTCCAAAAAAGGGCAATTCGTCCCGTGGGCGATGCCTCGCTCACGAACTCACTCACTTCTCTGGAACACTGTAGAAAAGTTGGCGATCTGGCTCTATTTTATATATATTTTCATGGACGAAGCTCTTCTGAAATATCAACAATAATTGTTCCTCCCTTGGCAGTCCCTGCGAGATTAACCTGTCGAGTTGAGGCTTCGCACCCCTTCGTGGTCACTTTGGAGACCTGCAGAACATCTCTTTCCAAATACTCATTCATCCAACGAACAGCGAGGCTCTGGAACACATTGCCAAGGAAGGTGTTCCCCGAGGCATATAACCTCCAAAAATTCAAGAAGAACACCAATTCCTACCTTATTTCCCTTGGTTCTCACGATGTTCTCTGAACATTACAGGATATCCCTTTTCGTGGGAACCAGAACTAAAAAAAAAATGTATCACAATTGGATATTCGTTAATTAGGATGAAACATCAATTATTACAACAATTTCAGTTTCATGTATCTACCTGGATGATCATATTGTAGCTACATGGCAAGAATGAAAGAAAAATAGTTTCTTCACAAGTAGCCAAATGAAAAAAACGGAATGTCTATCTTAGTTTTCTAAATATCGTGAGTTATTTTCGAATGATTTTTTTAAACTCAATGAAATTAATGGCAATCTTCTGGGACCGATTGGAGTGTGGAAAATATTCTGATAATATCGTCCAAGTAATGATTTTTGGATTTTTAAGCCTAGCAAACATTGAAATGTCATTGTATTCGGGCCACCGCCAATTTCATGTATTTCAATAAAATGCAATTCAACAGCCAATTAATAAACGAATATCAAATTGTGATAAGATGAGCTACAGAAATATACAGGGTGCCATTTGATGAAAAAAGTTGGGTCTACTTCCGATCAAACAGGTGGTTGATGAAAATTGTCATTGGGTTCAAGGGAAGCGGCATTATCGATAATATAACCCTTGTGAATTTCTATATGCCACTTTTAAGTCCTGTTTATGTAGAAATTAGCTTCATTTCTACATAAACAGGACTTTAAAGTGGCATATCGAACAAATAACACGTTGGGACGGTTTATCAAGAATAATATAGACAAAACTTCTAAATTCGAAAAATCAGGGGTATACAAACTCAAATGTGGATCTTGTCCTAAGGTATATATCGGTCAGACAGGTCGTACGTTTAATCAGCGCATTCATGAACATAAGATGAATTTTATGAAAGAGAAAACAAATTCAACATACTCCAACCATATATTAAAAGAAAACCATGCTTTTGATGATAATTTCGAAATTCTGCACGTAGAAAATAAAGGACTGAAACTCAATCATTTTGAATCATTAGAAATCAACAAACTCAAAAATTTTTACATTTTACTCAATGATCAATTAGACCTCAATAGTTCACCACTGTTGAATTTGTTTTCTTAGTAAGTAATAATATGTATTCGATATCAACTCTTCTAAGTTAATCCGGTATACCGTAATTTAATGTAGAAATTCAATGTAGAATTTCCGAAAATGGAGTTTTATCGTACCTGTCCACAGGTAACTAATCCTTCAGGTTGGGAAAGTAAGATATATAAAAGTTAGGCAAGCCAAGATTAGTTTAGTTCATCGTACCAGTATATCACCTGACGAAGCTACTGTGTTAGCGAATCATGTCGTGTGTTTGAAAATTTCGTGGAAATCTTATCGTTCGTGAAATTTTCACAATAAAATGATCTTCTTCAGGATCACGATTCGTGATTACATTATTGTCGTGACGAGGTCTTGTTTATTTACTGATTCCGGTCTCGCGCTTGTTCACACCTACAAATCCGAATCCGAATTCGTGAGGTTTTCCGTAATTTCCCCGGAGTCGACAAGTTTAATATACAATGTGCCTTGCGTCAGATTGGCATCGGGAATCGGATTATTGTTTCCTGATTCGCTGTGATTGAGATCACGTATAGATTGCGTGCATATGCAGGCAAGATAGTAATACCAGAACTATGTGTTGAGGTTCAATCTTTATTTTTCATACACAGGGTGATTCAAAATCCGATGTAAATATCTCATAAGGACGCACATAAACTGCTCAACATTGATAACGTCGTGGTCCAAAATATAGCCTGAATTCAAAGTAGAATAACTCACGATTCTCACGAATTCTCTTACCAATTTGAAATCGGTTTCCACCGATGATTAGCCTTATCTCTTGCCAGTTCGTTGTGGAAATATGAAACTTCTGTAATTTCAGATAACATTGCGACAGGGTGATAATTGAATGGGTGTAAAATTGCATCGTGTTCGTCACCTTACCGGTTGAACAGATAATTTTTTTTATTTTTTTTCTCACCTGTATCCTCTTGATTGATGCTTTCTCTCGAAACTGTTTCGGAATTTTCGAATTCAGAGCTTTGATAACCGTGTTATGAATATTCATTCAAAATGATGCATTTCTTCGACGATTAATTGAATGAAATTGGAAGTTGGAATTTTGTTTCGGAGAATCAACCTTGTATGTTCCGCTCTGCTCCGCTCGTGCTTATAAAATACTCGTTACTAAAATGACGTTTATAACACTTGTTACATAATATACTATTATATCTCTCGATGTGATTTTTTTTCTATAAACTATTAATTTTCATGATCGAAAATAATTGCTATTTGTTTTTTACTATCAAGTCAATTTTTATTTTTCAGGACTTGAAATTCAACAAGGATGTTAATTTTCTCGAAAAGCGAAAATACAATGAGAGGTAAGTTGATAGATTATTTACAATAATTCAGATCATATATGAAAAGAACAGTTGAACATATTATTCAGTGATGAACGAATTGATCCTGATCTTCAAAGGTGTACGAAGATACGTAGCTGAAAATGATAATAATGACAATTCATAAAATTCAGAATTCATATTTCTCATAATTGTTCTTGATGCGGTGTTTATGTTTCAGATGACATGTTTCTAGAAATGGTTCATCCATCTGGATTTTTATTGTATATCAATCACGATAAGCTAAAATTATTTTCTCACTCTATGGTTCTGTACATGCAGATTCTGAACGTTTGGAGTATTTATTACCTGTCGAATAACTTCGATTTGTTTCTGCAGTACAATTCTCTTCTACTAGCACAACATTTCGTAAGTAACGATTCGATGATAATATAATGTGTTTTCATTTATAATACACAGCGCTAAGTGATAGTTTGATTGAACACACTACGGATCCTTACACTACATTTCCTTATAAATCTTGTTTCTTATGACTTAAGTTAAGGAATATTAACCTCGATATGAACATGTCACCAAAGAAGTATCAGAATATCTACAGGGTGAGCTATAACTTTAGGCTAAGGGCTGATTGTTTGGACCAAAATATGGCGATAAGGCTGAATATGCCTCGATAAAATATTGATGTGGAAAAAGATACAGGGCGATTCAATGAAAAAAGTATTGACTATAACTTCGCACCAAAATTTATCCACTGAGAAAAAATGTCATTTACCAGCAACAATTATTTGACAGTCCAAAGCACACTCTCCATAAATGAAATGATATTTTAAATCCCCTTCCGAGACCTTGAACTGTTCAATTGCGTTTTTCTCGAAAGCGGATGAAAATACCGTGTTCAAAGAAGAGTACCAATATTTCGTAGAAATGATGTTTATGTCATTGTTTTTAATCAATATCACCAAAAAGTTTCGTCAAAAATAGTTACCAGTCGATTTTATCAACATCAGGAATCATTCAGCCCCCTGTAACAAACTGTAGAATAATACAAAACATAATATTCCCTGTATAAGATTATACCTTAGTGCCGATTTTGATACCAATTGATAAATATACAGTAAAATTATTAGCAGAAAACGAAACCAAAAATTCAACATTGACGCCCTGTATCTTTTACACAGCAATATTTTATGAAGGCATATTTTGTCCTGTCACCGTATTTTGGTTCAAAAAATTTGCCCTTTTAGCCTATATCCCAATAGTTATGACTCACCCTGTATATAGAATTCGAGTACATAATTCAGGAAGATAATTTTTAGAATGTCTGCAGAGTTGCATCTGCATCTATTCAGGACTGTCATATCAAAATGTTCTGCTCGTTCTCAATCATATTGAATAGTTCAAAAGGATACCACACCAAACAGCTTCATATTTGAAATGAGACAAGCGAAAATGAATTTTTTCTCCATATGTGTATATTTTCTAATATTGAAATGTTGTTACATGCATTCTTTTCATTTATATAACAGTTGTTCTGCTAGAAGTTTATCACTATAAATTGAAGTGGGTGTTTGTACCCTATACCCATTGTCCATCTACGGCTATGATTGATTTGACAGAAAAAATAACCTCTAAAATCGTATCTGACAATCAGGCGCTAGTAGGGAAATTGGAAAGACAAAGAGCTGAATATACACTCAGTTCCAAAAAAAGTGACTCACTTGATATTTGAAAAAAAAATTGTAGGCCGATTTTTTTTTATTTGTTGGTAGGTAATGCATTTGTCTTCAAAACAAAAATAAAGAGGTGAACATTTTTTAAAAGCCTCCTTGATGGTGGTGGTATTACTGGAACCATGATTAATTCTAAATTTTTGACTCATCCTGTGTGTTAATTGAGTAATGGCATAGAAAGTGCTTACACCCTATACGAAAGAGGCTTCTTTTGGGAGCATTTTGTTTTTTTATTCATTGATTTATCACTAAAATTTCCCGAATTACAGCTTTTTTGCTGACACCTTACGCTTATCCCACAAATTAAATTTATTGAAGGATCAGAGTACTAAAAATTAATTGGGTTGTACTCTGGTAGGATCACATTGTCTTTAAAAAAACAAATGCCGTTGCCATAGCAACTAATTTGTTGTATGCCTCCATATTTGACCATTTGTCGTTGTGTCATTAATCAAGTGTCTTGTTTTATCGACTAAAATTAAATCCTGAACAAGTAGCATGATTGGTTGCGTTAGTAAACGATGGGCGTAGTAAACGTTACGCCGCTCTTGCAGTGGGAGTTTATGAAGCAACTGCTCGTAGAGCAATCCGCAAGTACGAACAAACAGGAAGCACCGCTCGGAGGGTCGGTTATGGTCGCCCCCGAAAAACTTCTCCAAGAGATGATCGCTTCTTGAGATTGCGGATTTTACGGAATCGATCAAATACTGCGGTAAATGTTCAGCAAGATCTTCGCCAAATTCGTGATGTTGCAGTAAGTAAGCAGACGGTATGTAGACGTCTGAAAGAAGTTAATCTAAAAGCTAGGAGACCTGCAAAAGGTCCCAAATTATTGCCCGAACATCGTGCTGCTAGAAGAAATTTTGTTGAAAATTATGAACAGTGGAATATTCCTGAATGGTCGAATGTCTTGTTTACGGATGAGTCAAGGTTTTGCCTCAACATGGTGGATGAAAGAAAGAGAGTGTGGATGAGAACTGGTGAACGGTTTAATCAAAATTTAATAACAGAATGCGAAATTTTTAATCGTGGGTCCGTTATGGTGTGGGGAGGGATTTCAATGTATGTAAAGACACCCCTTCATGATTTTCCGGTTAGGCAGTCGATGAATGCCCAAATTTACATCGACATTTTAGAGCAGTATGTCTTACCTTATGCAGAGTTAGTGGGCAATAATTTTATATTGATGCAGGATAATGCCCGACCACACACCGCAGCAATAATGCGAAACTTCTTAGAAGCTACTGGTATTACCACATTACAATGGCCTGCGAGAAGCCCCGATATGAATCCTATAGAACTTTTGTGGGATGAATTAGGGAGAAGGGTACGTTCTCGCGAGAGGTCTCCGGAAAATCTCGCAGAAATGGCAGTTGCATTAGTGGAAGAATGGGATCGTATATCAATGGAAACGATAAGCAACTTAATTTCCAGTGTGCCTCGTAGATAAGAAGTTCTTAGAGTTGCTGGAGGAGTCATCCCAATTTATAATTTTGTGTTTAATGGAAATGTTTTTCAAAATTATTGGTATCAGTTTATTTCATTAGAAAATTGTTTCTCGATAAATTCAGGAAGTTGGTAATCTGCAAGGATTCAGCAAAAAAGCGGTAATTCGGAAAATTTTAGAGATAAATCAATGAATAAGAAAACAAAATGCTCGCAAAAGAAGCCTCTTTCGTATAGGGTGTAAGCATTTTCTATGCCATTACTCAATTAACACACAGGGTGAGTCAAAAATTAAGGAGGCTTTGAAAAAATGTTCACCTCTTTATTTTTTTTTTCAAAGACAAATGCATTACCTACCAACAAATAAAAAAAAAATCAGCCTACAATTTTTTTATTCACTCAAACCACTATTATAGAAAATAGAAGAGGACAAAAGTTCAGCTGTGTCCGAGCTCTCATCAAACTAATACCATCCAGTGACTCTACCTAAAATGAACTAGCGAATGATTTTCAGGGCTTAAGCAGCGCAGTGTATCTCACCATAAGCTACCACCACATTATTCAATTCAAAAATCGCGTGAAAGCCGTCTTGTGGCCTCTAGATTTCTGCGGCAAGAGAACTCACGACAAACTCCTCAAACAAATCCGCCTCCTCAAATACGAATTTATTATCATTATTTTTTGCACCATAGGCGGTCATGCGCTCTTTATGCCTATAGTCGGCGACGAGAGCGACATCTTCATCGAAATCAGGCTGATCGACGAGGTTTTCGGAAAAGATGTCCGCTCGAAAGTATTGAGCAGTGTTTTTTACATTGGCATCGTTTTTCTGGGGATCTCTATCGGAGGGGTAGTCAATTTGTTTGTCTATTTCTCGGTGCACATAGAAACTCAGTTCCATTTGCTGAACTTGAAAGTTGAAAATATATCAGGTGGTTTGGAACGTATTGAGGAGGAAGATAGGTTTCAAAGAATCCTCGGTTCCAGATTGAAATTTTGCATAGCCAGGCATATCACTCTCCTGAAGTAAGTTGATATAATATTAGGTATGAAATACACTTTCCCATTATAGGGATTCCCTTTCGTGCGCTCCAAGCGATAAAGAAAAAAAAATTGACGCACCACCAATTTCCAGACTTTTTGGGATTTTCTCTTCTCGTTTCTATGAAATAAAAATATGAATAACATTTCGATATATCGTGTAGTAAGGACAAATCAGATGATTTTCCCCAAAATGTCACTGCGTTTAAAGAATTTTCCTATCAGAGAGCCTAAAAGAAAAATCCACTAGCTTGTCAGTGACAATTTGTTTCGAAAAATGTTTGGAGAAGAGAAATATAGGTATATAGAAAAATATCAAAGTAGTAGACAAAAAACCGTGAGCTTAAATCTAATATTTTTCCCGTGTATAATAAAACACTATTTTTTTCTGTGACAGAAGAAAGGACGAATCAATATTGAGAAGATATTACATTATTTTGAAATCTGAAAATTATCGACGTGAAATTTCAAGTTTTAACAGTATAGGGACACCTGCGTTGTAGGTATCTTTATCATTTTTTGAAGTAATCAAATATCTGATGTCACTTCTGTCAGTCTAATTTTGTGATTTGATTTCAAAAAATTGCGAATTTAGTGGTTGTTTAGTAATATACTTAACCGCGAAGTCGAATGGAAGATAAAAGGACTTGCAGTTCTTTCTCGGAGACGGTATTATCACAGGTATTATTGACTCATTTTTCGGAACTATAGCACAACAAAATCCATCAACAGTGTATATATATGTGATATATATCCGGGAAAAGAGTACTCACTTTTTTCCCGGATATATATATCACATATATATACTCTGTTAATGGCTTTTGTTGTGCTATAGTTAAAATGAGTCAATAATACCGTCTCCGAGAAAGAACTGCAAGTCCTTATTTTATCTTCCATTCGACTTCGCGGTTTCGTATATTACTAAACAACTACTAAATTCGCAATTTTTTAAAATCAAATCACAGAATTGAACTGACAGAAGTGACATCAGATATTTGATTACTTCAAAAGAATGATAAAGATGTCTATAAAACGCAGGTGTCCCTACTGTTAAAAACTTGAAATTTCACGTCGATAATTTTCACATTCCGAAATGATGTAATATCTTCTCAATATTGATTCGTCCTTCCTTCTGTCACAGAAAAAAATAGTGTATTATACACGGGAAAAATATTAGATTTTAGCTCACGGTTTTTTGTCTCCCTCCGTTACGCGTCGGGTGACAACACAACCTGGAGCTAAAATCTACTACTTTTTTCCCTTGTGTAATAAATAAATATTTTTGTATGGCAAATTCATATTTGTCCTGACACTTTTCAGTTCTCACCAATTGTCACTTTGTGATCGACCGACTTAGTGTTATTTTGTTTTTCTTTTCCCATATTATTGGAACACTGGAAGGGAGATATTGAGGGTGAGAAGTTTTCAAAATATCCATTTATGATCACAAGCTCCGTGCGACTAGTCGAATAAATGCCTCCCCTGACTATAGCCTGATGCTAATTAATTGATTATAATGCTAATTGAATTCAATTGAGTCCTGTTATGCCTTAAAATGGCATTTTTGGAGTAATAGGAAAGATAATGGAGTTAATCCAATGAAGAAATGTTGAAAAGAGTTAAAAGTGTAATTTCAATTCTAATTCGATGTTGTAACTGTACAGGGTATACAAGTTTTATGAAATAAACACGCTATTATTACTCCACCTGCGGTATTCATAAAAAAAAGGTTTCATGAATATGTTCAGAAGGAGATGATATGTCATTCAAAAGAAAAAACGTCCTAAGTCGGACAAGTAGTTTTGACGAAAATGTATCTCAAACTTTTGGACACTTTTTGGTGGTTCGTTAATTTTTTGGGAAAGCATACAGATATTGTATACTATACAAAAAACATGGATTGTTTTCGTCAATGAAAGCCTTATTCGTATTAGAAGAAATATTTTGTATTGCAGGCTATTCTACTCTATGGAAACCATTCACAATAATTGGCCCGTTTTGATATTTTCCTTGACCGGAGTTTTGATGATTGTATCCGAGATATATTTGTTGTTGGCAGTGAGTTTTCATCGAGACTAATTTGAACGACTTGTTATAAGGAAGTGCAACTTCAATTTCAGGGCATAAGTTCGAGAAGTAATATTCGGTTGATGTTAGCCATGGTTACCACAGGTTATATTGCATTCCTATTCGTTTTCCATGGGCAAAAATTGGAGAACGAAGTGAGTTATAAACTTGAGTAATTCAAATTTAAAAATGACTTTTCGAATTTTACACCAGTATTTGAGACTACACCATGCGGCCCAGAATTGTTCATGGCATAGATGGAATAAGCAGAATATATTTTACTTGCGAATGCTACTGATGAACAGCTCGAAGCCGATAAAAATAACGTCTTTTCATATGGTCGACTTGGATTACACTTTACCAGTGAAGGTGAGAGAACCAAATAATTTCGTGAGTTTCCAAAGTACTTTTTACATCAAAAATGTACCGCAAGGCGTTACAGACTGAAAAAAACATGTTGAGTTTGATTGTCAGAGGTACAATTTTTTTTAAATAGGAATAGGGACCACATGATGCATTATAAAATGGTCTGTCGATTCCCTCTACAGTGTAATTCAGTTTTCGGAAGTCGATCTACTCGTTTAGAAAATGTTGTGCCAAGAAAAACAATAATACGTTTGACAAAGGAAAAAAAAATAATAATCATTCAAATAATTTGCTGCTTTGCAGATTCTTTAGGGCTCATCTAAAGAATATGTTTGTGAGTGAACAATTATCGCGTTTATGCTCAGTTAGTCGCTAGACAGCTGTCTTGTGACTTTTGAATGATGTGTTTCAACATTGTTGAATCTTTCAAGTGAAATCGACTCAAATTTTAAATTTTTCGTCAAACGTATCATTGGTATTTCTGAGCTCCATATTTTCTAAAGCAGTAAATCTAATTTCAAAAACTAAGCAGCAATGTATAGGAAATCAAAAGCACCCTTTAATGAAGTATAACTCGATCCTCCTTCCCATTTGAAAAAAATCAGGGATGACACCTCTACTCAGGGAGTAGAAGTGTTTTTGAATTTTGTGTAGAAGTTGTTCTCCAGTCTGTAATGCATTGTGGTATATACAGGGTGTCCTAAAATGGCTGGAACACAGAGCTACCACGTGTATTACGGTTCGATATAAATTGATTGGACCCAACTTATTTACCTAAAAAAATCTACCGTTTGTCCGTGAGACGAGTTCAAAGTTTACGTATAGGAAAAAACAGTTTTCTTCTCTGTTCAAAAATGAGTGGAACAAATTGGATGAAATTTGACAAAAGTGCATTCTAAAGAATATCCCTTCTTGCAGTAGGTAATCAAAGAAACCCGAAAGAAATTGTAGAAGGATTGGAACTACCCTCTCCCCCTGCAAGGTTTTTCAGAACATTCTTATGGGTGGTATAAGGATTCTCAATTTTCTCAAGCGAGATGACTTCTTCATTTTATTACTCTAGTGGAAATTTCGTATTCCGCATAGTTCCGAAGGAATAAATGCTAACAGACAGTTTGATAAAATTGCAATACAAAATTAGTTGACAGTGGAAACAAAGGAATTGGCATTTGTATTGATGAGAGAGGTCGTCAAATTGAACATTAATTTGAAAACAACGTTCTGTCTCTGGTTTCACTGTCAACTAATTTTTTATTTAAATGATATTAAACTTTTACTTGGAATATCTGTTAGCATTATTCAAGAAAACGTTTTTCCCTTCGGAACTATGCGGAATACGAAATTTTCATAAGAGTAACAAAATGAAGATGATAAATCAGTCATCTTGCTTAAAAAAACTGAGAACCCTATTATCATCCCTAAGGATTTCCTGAAAAGAAATGTCAGGAAGTGAGGGTGGTTTCATCCCTTCCACAATTTCTTTTGGGTTTCTTCGATTACCGAAAGAAGGGCAATCCTCTAAAATGCACTTTTGTTAAATTTCATGAAATTTGTTCCACTCATTTTTGAACAGGGTGCAAAAATGTGTTTTTCTATGTAAACTTAGAACATGTCTCACGGACAAACGGTACATTTTGTTATATAAATAAATACGGGTCCAATCAACTTATTTTGACCTATATTACACGTGGTAGCTCTGTGTTCCAGCAATTTTGGGACACCCTGTATCCAATGCGCCATCCTGTATAAATTAAACACAAATTTGATGAATGTGTGATTTGACTATTCAATATTTCTTTTATTTACCTGCAGATGACGAAAATTATTTATAGCGTATTAACCGCACTGTTACATCTGAGAAGGAATAAATAAATCGAGGAAATAGCATCTACACAACAAATTCAAAATTTCAGATAATTCAATGCACGTGAAACCCATTTATTAGTCACCATAAATAATGAATAAATGACATACTTAATGAATGTCTCGATGGTGTTTCATTTAACCTTTCAACTCTATCTCTGAGATATCTCCTGTACAGTACATACAAGATAATCATTCAAATTCTCAATGGCACATGTTTTGGAAAAAGCGGTTTTGTGACGCCCTGTATACGAGTGAACCGCACAATTTTTCCGAAAAATAATTCGTTTTCTTGTGTACCTTATTCACCTATAGTGTGTATCGCTCAAAAAATAAAATACTGCTTTGGAATTTTAATAGCAAAGTTGTGAAAACTGATGCATCGATGTTATATCCCTGCAACCTATATTGGCACGGACTGTGTTGACCATTAATTACGGATTTCAAACAGATCAAGTTCGAAGGCAGAATTTATCTCATTAACTACCAGATTGGTTTTCGCCGCAGATCCGTGTTTTTAGTTAGTCGCTTTGTCCCCACTGTGGGGGGTATCTATATATGCATCATGTATGGTGAGGCACGTGTACGTTAGAATTGAACTTGATTACGAGGTTTTCCAAAGGGGACTTTTCGTTTATGAAAATTGCACAAGTGCATAAAAATTACCGATAATTTTTAAAGAAATCGTGTTGTCTAAAAATTGCATTAGTTCTTTTCATATTTTGGCGAAAGCGCCCGAATCCGGAGGAGGAGAGCTCTTTTACAGAACATGAAAATAACCGAATGTAATTTTGTGTATGATAATACGCTTGAATGCAAAATTATTTGGTCATTTTTATGCACGAATGTAATTCATTGGAATCTTTCACGAATATAGACAATTCTCGAAGAAATGTTGTTGTTTATTTCTGACTATTCCACTCTTGATCTCGAGAACCAATCAGAATCGACCATTTTCACGGTTTCTTCTGTATTCTACCGATATTTTTTGTTTATTAAATTTTATCGGACTTGCTCTACTAATACAGAAGCCGAATTGACTCACACGTGACCAACAAACCTCGTTTATAAGCGATAAAATTTTGACATCGTGTCTGGTCCAATGACAAGAGTGCTTTGAATTCAAATCTGAGACAATAACCTAAGTTCCTACTTTATTTAATTTACTTATAATTCGCGTTAGTGAGATATTTTGTACGAAAGGGCGAGACAATTTTATTTGTTGACAGTCTGACACAACAATTCTAGAATTCAAATTCCTTTTTAAAGTAGGTAATCTTCTTCAATCACTCAACTCATTGTGACTCACTGAAATAATTACCAGCTGATGTAGCGTGAGCGCAACTGTTAGGGTTGTAGCGCGAGGATACGAAGGTCGATGGTTCGAGCCCTCGGCGACGATATCTTTTTTTTATTATTCCATGTCACATAAATTCAATTTATTTTGTTTGAATTGGATAGCAATTGTATACACTCTTTTGAGAGCAACCATCTCCAAGATAATAAAAAAAAATAATGTTTATCAAAATTGTACATTCCACTTTGTGAATAAGAAGAAGGTAGTCTAAAAAAGTACATTCTGTAATTCTGTATTTCATCACTATCATTATGTTCTTCTTCGCAGTTCGAGTTGGAATATACTTTAATTATATTTCCTATTTCTTATATATATTGTCTCATTGAATCATGAAATAGTCATACGAATACAACTCGTGATACTATTTTTCCTAGAAATATTCGTCGATTGACATACTCCAGCTTGCTGCTCTAATTTCGCTCATGACATTGATCCAAAAATACTCGCCTACGGCTCGTAGTTTTGATAACAATGTCATTCACGAAATTACTAGGCAACAAGCTGTCGTAACAATCACCGAATATTTCCGGCAAAATATTATCACTTGTGGTATTATATAATATGAGAATTATCATAATACTGACAAAGAGTATAAATAAAATTTGCTAAAACGCGACATTTTTTTTTCAATTTTTGAAGTCTATCTGACATTTATTTGTATTGTTTACGCGTCTAGCCACACGGTTACAAATGTGTTGTTATGGCAAAACGTGGTTTTCGCAAGCGAGTGGACTATTTTTTTTATTACTTAAATAGAATCATCATTCAAATACCTTTCAATGTTATATTTTTTCAGAATTTTTCGGTTGATTTTGAGGTGCCGAAATCATTAATAATGCCACGGTAATTTTCAACGGCTAGAAATTTACCGCGTGTAAACCTGAAGCACCCTGTCTATAGTTCCAAAATACCTGGTAGGAATGCATATCAATGGCCATGAAACTTTACAAGTGATGAGAAATTGTACGATTAAAAGTCTATCTACCTACTAAAATTATTATAAAGGGAAGTTTTGGAGATCTTGGTTAAATAATCATATACAAAAATATACCAGAAATACCATAATGACATTCATATAGAAAGCTCTAAATACATATTTCTGCAAGAAAGTTGCCGTCCTCAGCATTCATCAGTATTTGGGTATATTTTTGTATACATATGACTACTAAAATTAATTGAAGAAAAATACATGAATAATATGTACACAAAAAAGTCTTTCACTTCAGTTCTTTTCATCATTGAATATGTCCTCCAATATCTGCTTGGTGATTGTCCTGTGAGGTCTGGTAGGGTCCTCTTTTGGCCTTCCGTAGAGTCTGCTATTTATAACGTATAACCTGAAAAATCACATAGTTTGTAAATTTTCCAAATGATCATGATTTTTCAATCCAATTCTAACTTAGAAAAAGAAATGAGGAACTATTCAATAAAATCTTCTTCAAAACGTAGAGTTGAAAGTGCCTCCATGAAAATTTGAAAGAATATTATTGAATACTCCAGACACCTTGCGTTTTCTGGACAATTTCAATCCCCTTACTCAAAGCGCTCTGATAAGTTGTCAAGGTGGTCACTATACCTGTGTGAGTCCGAAATTCACATTTTTGTTCGAGATTATTTCGTTCATAAAAAAAATGTTTTTGAGATTGAGGCGTTCATGATAATCCAACATTCTGAGAGTAAATTTTGTTTAAAGTCTTTAATGAGCGAGTGGACTAATTTTTAGACGATTGGGAACTTCAGAAATATAAGTTATTCAATAATCCATAAATTCTCAATTATATATTGGTATTATTCCTAATTTGCAATAAATAATAAATTATTGTCCCATGGGTTGTGGCTAGAAGTCATTTGAACCGGTAAACGTGACAACACGGCGCACGAATTGTGGGCGTGGTCTTGTCAGTTCTCAGCATTCAGCACAATGTTGCCGAAACTCCAACATGTACATGATATTGTGTTATAAGGTACCTATAAGAAATATTTGGACATGCCGATTGCTCGAAAAAGTCGAGAATGAACTATAATATATACCTAGAGTTCCTCCTATTATGTTTTATTGAACGACAGGACTCAAACATCATTTTGATAACTTGATTATAATTGGTGACTTGACAACCTTGCTTCATGAATGGAAATGGAAGATTATATGACCAATAACGAATCAGCATAAAAACTGACGTTACCATTTATTCGACGTATCGCCAAATGGACGGAACGTTTGAAGTGAGCACTGAAATTCAACAATATCGAACAACGCATAGAAGCGTTAGAGGTGTTGCAAATTCAGTTTTCTAACGACACAGTGGATTAATTGAATGTCAATAATTAGTTATCAGTATATTCGCCCACAAGTTGAAGTTTTGGCGAAGGCGCGAATATTGGGTTTCTTCGTGTAAATTTGCGGTACCTCAGCTTGACTTGTCTGGTGCAGTCTCTAGATCTAGCTAGAAGGTAGCTTTTCGAAAAGAAAGTTGTTAAATTCTCAAACTATATACATCGCGGTCGTATAGCATTTTGATTGCATAGATATATCAATTATGGAAAATAAACTCTATGCACTGGGTTTTAGGGGAAATTTTTTAAACTGGTTATCCTCCTATAATATGAGAAAAATATGTGTGAACATTGAGAACAGCATGTCTGAATTCAAAGATGTTGAGCAAGGTGTTCCTCAAGGGTCCATTTTAGGACCTCTAATATTCCTGTTATATGTGAATGACCTCCCTTTACATACCAACGCTGATTATACCATACTGTATGCTGATGACACCGACCTGGCAGCAGATGCTGAATCATCCACCGAACTTGTCCATAAGCTCAATCTATCAGATGAAAAATTCACTATGTGGTGCAGAAAAAACTCACCAAAGAACATCAAAGATCATAATCTTTTTAAAAGATGTCTCAGAAAATTTTTATTAGAGAAGTGTGTGTATGACATATACATACTGATTTTATGTGCTAATGTGTTTTTTCGTAATAATTATACAAGCAGTTTTATATATTATATTTTTTGTTTTACCCCTGACATGTCTTATATCAACTATATGTATGATCAAGAAAGATGAATAAATTTATTATTATTATTATTATTATTATTATTATTATTATTATTATTATTATTATTATTATTATTATTATTATTATTATTATTATATGTATACAGGATCCTGCCGATTTCATAGGGACAATATTGCTATTTCCTAAACGGTAAGAGATAGAAACTTGATCAAATCAGACAAAAGTTAAGTAATTCAAACCTTTTCAGTATGCCGTTTTAAAACTGAAAAAAATTCAGCCGTTCCTTAGCTACCTGCTGCCCTCACCCTGTTCGTGCAGCTAATAGCCGTGGGCTGCTAAAGCTCATTTTCTTCCCTTGTGTATTAGGTGATAGATCTCATGAAAACCTACCACTGTGGTATTCGATTTTTTTTTATATATCTGACGGTTTGGCTAATATCGAAGGAGAACACGCACTATCGAATCACCCAGGGAAAAAATCTTACTTTTCGCTCAAATCGCATCTGACGTTGAACCACCAATCGCAGACGAACACCAATTGGCTGAACTGCGTGCCGTTCGGACACAGGAACGTCGTCTGTCGTCCGTCAATGTCGCAGTAGTGCCAACTCTGGCATCTGGTTTCCGGGTCCGCGTAGAAGCCCGGAAACGGCTGCTCGTCGCAGTAAAAGTTCGTGTAAGGCACCGTGCCTAGAACTGGATAGTCTGCTCCGGGTCGGCCTGAACAAAAATAGTAGATTGTTTAATTAGCATCGAAAGTGACACTTTGTTTGACTGAAACATGCTATTTTTCCTGCAACCAAGAATTATCTATAGTAATATTATAAAGTGGAAAGATTTGATTGTTTTTGTTTGTTTGTTTGTTTGTTTGTTTGTTTGTTTGTTTGTTTGTTCATTCGTATTGAATAGGCTCCGAAACTACTGGATCGATTTGGCTGAAAATTGGTGGGAGGTAGCTTAGAACCAGGAGGAGGTTGTAGGTTATAGATGGCGGATCTAATATATCGGACGAGTTTAGTAATTATGGTCCGATTCTAATCAAAATTGGTATCGGGGGTTTTCGTTTTTCGTGATCAAGGATTATGATTCCTTCGTCAAAATTAAGAAATTTAAGATGGCGGATCCAAAATGGCGGATTTTGTAATTAGGATCCGATTTTATTCAAATTTGGTATCTGGTGGTTCTCGGGGTCGTAGATTATGATTCTTTCGTCGAAATTGGGAAATTCAAGTGAACTAAAAAGGAGTTGAAATTAATGGTAGTTTGAAAAACTAAAAAAACATACTTTTATAGATAGCGTAATTAAAAAGAAGTAGAAAATTAAATAATAATAGTGTCTTGATGAATATTGAACTAAAATAGTTATTTATGATATATAAGTGCTAAAAGTGACATTTTATTTTGTGAGAAAGGGAAGTTTGGGACACGACGCCGAAGGCATACACTATTTTTTCTACAAACACCATTAAAAGTCCAAATTAACGCATAACTATTTTACATTACTTATTAATTGATTTATAATAACAGCCTCGAGATTATCAGTTTTGAATCCAATTCGATCTAATCAATTCATGAAACAAGTTACCAAGGTAAACAAAAACTGAATTTGTTGATTTATCTTTCTTGACAACTAACGTCAATAAATCAAGAATTATTCTTCCTCGTTCCTTCGTTCCTCGATGGAAAGTGCCCAAGAAAATGCATTTCTTCCGCCGCAAATTGAAGAAGCTGCCAATAAAGCTGTTTTTGAATTATTGCCTAGTAAGTCGAAGCGACAGTACGTGTTTCCATACGAACGTTTCTTGAAATGGTGTGATCAGAAAAATGTCAATGGAAAGGAGGCCAGTGAAGAAGTGCTTCTTGCATACTTTGAAGAAAAGTCCAAAATATGGAAATCGTTAACGCTTTGGTCGAATTACTCTATGTTAAAGTCGATGATGAACATAACTGATCATGACATGAGCAGATATCACAAGCTTGTGGCTTTTATGAAGCGAAAGGGTGAAGGATATCGACCGAAAAAGTCAACAGTATTGACAAGAAAACGAATCGACAAATTTCTCGCAGGAGCCCCAGATGAAATATATCTAATGCAGAATGTTACAGACAAACTTGATATTTAATTTACATTGTATACTTTTGTTTAATGTTTCCAGGAAAATAATTTAATAATTTAAGTTTGATAGAATTTGTCACTTTCTGTGAATAAAAGTTAGTGAGCATATTTGGATTTTATCTATTACATAATGTAATAGATAAAATCCAAATATGCTCACTAACTTTTATTCACAGAAAGTGACAAATTCTATCAAACTTAAATTATTAAATTATTTCCCTGGAAACATTAAACAAAAGTATACAATGTAAATTAAATATCAAGTTTGTCTGTAACACAGAAAGTTGCTGCGCTTTGGTGTTTTTGGAGCCTGTCGTCGAGAAGAACTGTGCGATTTGACATTAAATAATATCGAGGATTCCTGTAACTTCACTAGTTGTGCATATACCAGACACAAAAACTAATGTGCAACGCACCTTTGTTGTAAGTGGTACATTGTATATGAACTACTACAAAAAGTACATAGCCCTTCGTCCAGTGGATATTAATCATTCTAGAGTTTTTATAAAATGCATTGAAAATAAATGTGCCAGGACTCCAGTTGGAATCAACACATTTGATGGTAAGATGCCTGCCAAAATTGCCTAATTTCTTAATTTGCCTGATTCCTACAAAGGAAACAGAACATTGCAGATCAAATTTTGTCGAAAACTTCGGCAGATAATATTGCTCTCTGCCCTGGTACAAGCTTCACCAAAATAAATTCTGTCACATCTACCAATGAGACTGGCCATGGAGTTTCGTATTATAATTGTAGTTTCGCTAATTGTACTTCTAATTGAATAAACACTTCATTTTGAATTATGTTTACATATTTTCTCATAGCACTAGTGCTAGAAGTGATTTACTTTCAACACCAGTGTCATAAACTGACATTTTAGACACTGACAGCATGCGTCAAAAATTATACTTTTACTGACGTTTGTAGAAAAAATATATAGAAATAATGTATATAGCAAAACAACGTTTGCGAGGTCTGCTAGTCTAAAATTAATATAAGTGAAATAACCACCAATGTGACTCACTTGACAGATTATTATAATAATATGAGTAAATAGATAGAAGCAAGACCTCGGACTACTTTACTTTGTTATGAATTATCTATTTCTGTTCGCTACAAAATGAGATCTGAAAAGTATCAAATTTATTCACCACCACAACACTATTTTTGTATTTTCTACTACTGAAAATGATGAAAACTTACTGTGCAAACTTCTAATTTGGGTCAAATATCTCGAAAACTGTTCATTTCAGCTCAGTTGAAGGTGATCCATTTTTTTAATAAAATTGAACAATGGATTCGTGAAAATTGAAAATAATTGGAAATATGGGAGGAAAAGTAATCACGACCCTCTGTAGCGCACCGCTGCATAAAATGTCCAGAATGACTTTCTGGTCAAAAATTGACCCATTCAAAGATGAAACCATATACCGAACTGGAATGCAAAATATTCAATCAATCTAGAGTTATTGCAAAAAAACTATTTTTATTTCTCAACTTCAACACTGTGTATCTCGAAAACTGCACAATTGAAGACAGTATGTTCCTATCTCAGTAATTATAAAATCATGAGGAATATCACCTGTGAAACGTTGTCGGTCGAATTTCGAAACACCCTGCATGTAAAAGAAAGTCCAACATTTGTTATACTTTGACTCAAGAACGACTGAACCGATTTGGCTGAAAATCGGTGGAGTTGCTAGGTTACTTTTCATCCCTGTGAATTCAAGATGGCGGATCCAATATGGCGGATTCTGTGATTATGATCCGAGTCTATTCGAAATTGGTTTCTGGGGGTTCTCGAGATCGGGGATTATTGTACCAGAAATGACTGATAAGTGATAAATAAGCGAGAACTCTCCTTTTCACATACTATACAGGGTCACTCAACGAAAACTTTACCCCCCTTATAACTAGATAACCTGGCGATTTCTATACTTGGGGGGAGCATTTTTTACAAGTAAACCAACTTGATCTGTTTATCCCCCTAACCTTATAGAAACCCTAGTTTTGAAATTTCAAATGGAACTACCCTATACTTCCAGTACATCATTTTCCTTGCGAATACTCAAGTTGGGGTTGCTAGGGGTTAGGGGATGAACACATCAAGTTCGTTTAACTGTCAAAAACGTCAAAAAGGTCGACGAGTCTTGGCGATTCCTGGTTTATGATTCAGTTTTCGTTGATCTCTACCTACCAAATATAATTTTGATACTCCTTTTCGTTTAGAACTGATGAATCGTCCAATAGATTCGTTGACACTCGGTATAGAAATATAAGTTCATCACAGAATTATTAATAATTCGCAACATGAAAAATATAAGTGCCGTCAAAACACCTTGTTTATAGACAGAGAACTTTCCATCAATAAAAATGCACCAGGTTTGGATGTACAACATATTGTGCAAGTGACATAATATTAAAAAAACGACTTGTGTAACTGCATACAAAAGTATGAGCTGAATAGGGTCATGATGGTGCGTTAAAAGCAGATTCGATACATATTGTTGTAATTATAGAAGAATGAAGAAAAATCAAGAAAGTCAAGAAGTTTCAAGCACATTCACATTCAGTAGAATTTTTTGTAGAGGATGATCGTCAACAAAACCCAAAAAGCACGTTTTTCGTCGACCTCTCCAAAAAATCACATTTTACGTTCTAGTTTCCGAAGGCAAGTACTTTTCGTCCGCAGATACTAACTTTTCGTCCGCTGCAGGGTTGCCAAATCTACTGAATTTTCAGCAGATCTCCTGATTTGCATATTGATCTACTGACACATTTCATAACCTACTGAAAAATATTTTGACACTAATGATACGTTTGAACCAAAAAAGGACAATACTTTATATGATTCAGATCAAATTCAATTCTGTATATACCACGTTTGATTTTTTTATTTGTTCTGTATTTTTCTTGTTCATTTTTACTTTTCTTTCCTGTTTTTTATACACTCAAATCTTATTAGTTGTACCTATGTAACTGTATTTTGTGATATTTGTGAGTATTTTCAAATTGAGAATTAGGAATATGATTTTTTTATAAGGATATTTTTTGCTAATTTTTTGGAAACAGGTTACTTTTCTGTTTACTAAAAGTACATGATGTTTTGACGTCATAAGTTCATTTCATTATCCTTCCTTTGAATTCGTATAGCATAAAATAGGTCTGAATTTTTGACAAGGTATTAACTGATGAAATAAAAATCGCGCGGAGATTGAGTTGACAACACCTGTCATTTGCTGTTGTCAAATTAATTATTCACGAAATCCGATAGATTTCACGTGTGAATAGGACCGTGATGTGAATATAAAAAATCTGTCTATTGTCTCGCTTGATTGCTAGCCTCGGTTAGGCCTCGGCTATCAATAACTTATCAAAACTTTTGGTTTGATAAAATGAAGTAAATTGTGTATTCCACAGTGTTTGAATGTTTGGTATCGTAATTTCACAATAAGCCTGCATTTTTTATGAAGTTCGAGATATTCTAACAAACCTGAAATAACGGTAGGTATACGGGCTGTCTGGTACTCAATTCGAATTCAGCGTGGCTGCGTATTTTTCATAAAAATGTGTGATTTTTTATTGTAATCCTGGCAGCACGGTGGCGCCCTAGAAGTAGTTCGAAATCCACTATAAGCTGTAGGCCCCGCTCTTCCTAACCCCGCACAAGTTTTCGAAGTAGCGATATACTAATTTTACAAACTTTTCTTTCCAACTTCGCATTCGACAAACTCAAACTATGGATTTCTGAAAGACCAAACGTCATAGTTTCTCATCGTTGGCCCGAATACTAATTTCGCTTAGTAGTTTTAATGAACAATGATAAGAACGTGAGATACAATCGCAAACTTGCCTGCCTCTCCCCTATCGAAAAGCCTCGCTCCAATTTTGCAAATGGCCGCAAGTCTCGAAGCCCGTGCAAAAGACTTTCAACCTTTGTTGCCAACCTAAAGAATTCAGATATTCGTAGAAACAATAATATTTAATCATTCGTTCATTTAAATCTTGTAAAATAAATGGAATAATTACGAAAATCGCTTTCAATCCAAAATAGTATTGTTTTTATTCATAAGAATAAAGAAAACGTCATTACAATGAAGCTCAATGAATATTTTTCCACTTTTAATACAACTATAGTTTGAAATATTTCCGGAAATTTTGAAATAAAATTCATAGTATAGCAGTATCAGATACAATTTTACATAAAAATAATCGATTTCATATGATTTTCTTACTAGGTTTCCATCAGAAAATGAAATATTGTCAAAGTTATTTCAATTTTGTCTAATTATATGATAGCCAGAAAATCTCCACTTATTAATTTTCGTTTATATGCTCATGTGGATGAAAAATTTTCAAAAAATTTGCTGGTTACTATAGTAACCATGTCGAAATAGAGCATCTGATTGGTTGAAAATGAGTGGTATGAATACATTTTCAGTAGTAATATCCCTAGGAGATTGATAATAGACGAGAAAATCTTATGACAATCGAACCTCAGCGTTTGGTCTACAGGCTTCAACAGCATCTGATTTCGTATCAGAAAGCTGATTTTATAAGCCTTTTAATCTCAAATTCATATGTTTGGATATTACTCGATTTCTTCTTTGTTTTTTTCTTATTGTGAATTTGGATTAATAAACGTCTTATTATTATTATTATTATTATTATTATTATTATTATTATTATTATTATTATTATTATTATTAGGTTTAGCTATTTATGAAATTAAAAGTCCATGGACGTACGTATAGAACGTGAAATAGGCAACACCGAATTCAACCTTCAAAGTACTATTTCGTGCTTTGCTAATACGCGTTCTGTGGAGTTCTTCCAGTGGCGTATTTTGGTGGGGGGTTTTCATACCTGGTATGGATTTTCCCAGCTCCAAATATTCGACAACTGAGGGGCTCAGAAAACCAGGTGGCACATGGTTCGCATCTAGATCGTTGTCTCTCTCGTCGAAGTCATCAGAGTCTACGTCGTTTTCAGGCTCTGGAGGAGGTTCCCTCAATCTTTTCGATCTTGATTTATGTTCGAATCCATCTGGAAATAGTGGAAATACTACTCAATAATTGTCTGGGTTCATGAGTACAAAACCTGATTTTTTATTTCCTCTTTTTTTTTGTTGAATATAATTCAATTAACACCATCGCAGATTTTTTTTGTTTTTTAGTTTATTTTCGTGATAATACTTTTTGTGCATCATTAATATGAAAGTGATGGCAATTTCGCTCAAAAGAAATGTTGCCCAATATTTTTTCTGTAACTGGAACTGCATTCAAATTTTCATTGGTGATAAACAGAAGTATAGTGTCAGTTAGCAACATTTTTAATCATAGGACTAGGAAGAAATGAAGAAAAGAAACCACTGCATTGAAATTTTGACTACTTTTAAGTTGGTGTCATTGCCATGCATATATAATAAACTCACCATTCATCGAGTCAAAGGTTATTATTTTCTGCATTTGCAATACTTTTGCATCAAATTCTAACAATTCCTTTATGCCTGCTGAATTTTAATGGATCATGTCAAGGTTGAAATACTAAGATGTACCTGTTAGTCATTCTGATTCGATACTTATGAAATCTATACCGTGCAAATATTTTTATAGAGTTTTCGTGAGTCATATTGGTCGAGACTTCTATTAATTCTTTATCTGATTTTTTTTCTATCTTGTTAGTTACTTAACTTTGTAACTTCCCCCAGATTGTTTTCGATACATTTACTTGGCTCATAATTCATAATTTAACAGGTGTAGCACCAGCGTAGATAAGGGGGGGTACTGGGGGACAGTACCCCCCCCCCTGAAAATACAAAAATAGTAAAACAGTAAAAGACTTAGAAACAATAATTAATAATGAATTCTGTACCAGTGATTCAGAGATTCTAGTAAAACAAGTTTCTGAATATGTTAGTAAATTTAGAAATGAATTCTCTCCCAAACATTTTAGTCAGAAATTGATCTTTGGAAAAATGAATGGGAAGAAACCAAAAATTAAACCTATAATAATTTACCCAAAGAAACAGCCTTAGATACTTTACAGCATTGCAGTATCGAAATATTTCCCACTATTTATACACTCCTGCAGATAAAATCTGTTATGCCGGTGATTGTGGCGAGTGCTGAAAGATCATTTTCTATACACTTAAGTAAGACACTGAAATCATGGTTGAGGTGTACAATGGGTCAGGCTAGTCGGATTAACTTTATATTAAATATTCATAGATATATTGAAATAAATATAGATGCTGTTATCGATAGGTTTTCCTCGAGGTTTTCGAAGCAATGTGAAAGACTTTGATTTATAATCTAGTTGAGAGATTATGTCTTTTTTTTCATCTAGTTCATATAATACGCATATAAAATATGTTTTCATCGAGAATATTTATCGTGATTTGTTCATTTGAATGACTGATAACTGTTATTTTGGTAATTTTGAATATTCTAAGATATAAAAGCTGCTTCAATAAAAGTTGAAGCTGATAAACCACCATTTTGTGTTGATTTATTATACACTGAAACGCGTTGTACTACTAGGCAACCCCCAAATTATAATTCAATTTCCGCTACTGAGTACCCCCCTAGAAAAAAAACATACCTACGCGCCTGAGGTGTAGTAGGTATAATGTCTTCTTATTGCTAATTTGAACAAATTTGATAAAATAATGATGATAATGAGAATGCAAATATTATGCTCCTATGAATATCATTTTGAGTGTTATGGCAAATAGAATAGTGAATTC